GTTGTCTGGGATCATTTTACTGAGGCCTATTGCAACAAGGAGCTCTGGTAGTGTAGTGGTCACAAATAGGACTGCTAACCTCAAGGTCAGCAGTTCGAAACCACCAACGGTTCCATGGGAGAAAGATGAGGCTTTCTGTTCCCATAAAGATTTACAGCCTCAGAAACCCTATGCAGGGTTGCTGTGAGTTGGAACTAACTCCACGGTACTAAACAACAACAACAGCATTGCAACACGGTGGCTCCCAGAAGGCTAATGGTAATTAGCAGTAGAACTAGACATAATGCATAGGTTCCTCTTTTCATCAAATTGTGTCATACTCCCTCCCAAGTACAGAAGCACTGAAAGTAGTACCTTTTATCCTCTTCCTGAACCTAAACACCTTAAAATAATAAGTCCAAGTGTTCATTTATTTGGGTATCCCATGAACACCCACAGATAGTCCAACAGGTGCCTGATGGTGACATTGGATTTGGGTCAGAGCTATGGGGAGAGAGCCTTGCCTTGGGCAAATCCGTTCCCACAGTGTGCGAGATGCTGGCCGAGTGAGAGTATCTTTCCCTCTGGGTAATGTGCAGCCCTTGCCTTCCCATGGAGTCCTGGCTGGTGCAAAGGATGCATGTGCTCAGCTGTTAGCAATGAAGTTGGTGATCTTCTGAAAGCCAGTCATTCAAAACCCTATGGAGCATAGTTCTACCCTGACACACATGGGATCATGGAGTCGCCATGAGTTAGAATCGACTTGAGAACAACTGTTGTCATAGGAATTGCAATGCTTTGCAAGGTGGTAACTTGCTTCCTGAAATTTGAGAGGTAATAAAGGATTCTGGGGTTGGTTTGTGACAGGTCTCTACATGTGGGAGAGCCTTCTAGTTTGCAGGACTCTTTCTTCCACCAAGATCACTATAAACCTGTACCACAGGCCCCATTGCCTGCCTTTCTACACTCTGAAATGGAAGCTTCCTACACTACCACTCTAGGTCATGGTCAAGACCAGTGGAAGGAAAGAGTCTGGGGTTTCTGGACATGATGAGAACAACATGGGAGCTAGCCTGTGAGGTGTGCAACACAAACCACTTCTGGGACTGCTGACTAGCCCAGTGACCCCAGAAGAACCTATTGCAGGACAATGATGATTCAGAAAATAGGGAAAATAAAAAAGCAGTTGCCATTAAGTAGACTGTGACTCATGGGGCCTCCCACATGTTGCAAAGTAAATAACCCAATCCTAGAATCCGTTTGTTGCCTCTCCAACTTCAGGAAGCAAGCAAGACCTAACACAGTCTGAGTCAGCCTTTTTGTCACCAAATCTATTTCATGACAAAGCGTTACAGGTGGAAATAGGATCATTTAAGAAAATGGAATCACACACATTCAACCCAAAGTTGACCTCAGAAACCTATTCAAATTTTACATCCCTCTCCTGTTGATTGATTTCATTGAATAAAGACATAATTTTCTTTCTTAAAGACTGCATTTGTAGATGTGACAGAGCAAACAGAGAAATTAATTATAGTAAATAAATCTGTTAAACGGATGCTAGATCCGGTTAGAAGGTTGCCTAGTCCATACACATGTACACATTCCCAGGCTTCGCTATTTCCCACTCCTCCTCATCAAACCACAACGTTGTGACAACATTAAACCCATTCGTGTCTCCAAAGTCATTTGTTACTATTAATAGCTCAAGTGGTGAATAATTTACTATTTCAAAAATAACGTACTGGGAATTCAAGGTTATCCCTTATAATAGTATCACTCTGACTCACTTGTACTCCGACATGATCTCTGCAAAGACAGAAGTTGGCACTAAATTAGCATGCAGGAATGCCACACAAGCCTGGTCACACCAATGAGCTCATGGCCTTATGGCCTTGTGATTGTCATCCATGACGAGTGCCACTAGGGAACACAACTGAGAACTTCCTTGCAGAAAACAGGAAGGCAGAACTTTAATTCTAGTGATGCATTAACTCCAGCAATCAGCTGTAATCTCTGTCTTCCTGGAGTTAGTAATCTAAAATCATGCGAATTTAAATTCAGTGACAGATACAAACAAGGTAGTAATAGATGTCCACCATCCTCTCCCTAGCTTTTCAAGGATTCCTGGTAGTGAAGTGGGTTTAGCAACAGGCTGCTAACCTTAAAGTTGGCAGTTCAAAACTCACCAGCTGCTCTGCAGAAGAAAGATAAGATTTACAGTTTGGGAATCCTTAAGGAGCAGTTCTAATTCTGTAGGGTTTCTATGAGTCCGAATTGGCTCGGTGGCAATGGGTTTGGATTTGCGGTTTTATCTCTATCTTTTGAGTCTAATACCTCCGTCAGCCAAATAATGGGGCCACACAGAATATTTGCAGCTCCCAAAAGGAACAGAAGCTAGAACAGTGGCATTATCAAGGAGCTACGATTATTACTGAGCTGCTACTGTTTCCAAATAATCCTTTAAAATGGACACTATCATTATTCCTATTTTACAGAAGGGAACATTAAAGTTCGAAAAGATTCACTAATTCCCCAGTAAGTCACAAACCAGGGATTCAAACCAAGGCAGTATAATTCCAAAGCCCTTATTTGTAACCTAGCCTGCCTTCCCAAAAGATAAAATGAATAGGAATGAAACTCACGTCAACTGTTTGGATGGTGGGGTGAGAGTGCTCTTAGGCCGGAAGGCCTTCACTGTGCTTCTCCACTCAGAAGAACACTACACACCCTAGAAGGCTTTGTCTGCATTTCTCTATGAAATTTCTCATCCATTAGAGCTAACACTCCTCTCCTCTCCTTATACTCTGCTCAAATCTCTGTTGTGCCCACACAGTCTGCATTGTGTTGTATTAATTCTTGCCTGTGTGTACATTGGAACTATTTGCAATGTCTGTAGCTAGAATGGGGCCATCCTTAAAGTAACCCCAAACACAGAATTTCTCTCTCACTTGGCAGACCCATCTCAAACTTTGTTGGATCCTCAACCCATAGCACAGTGTTTTGTAAAAAGTAGATGCCCCTCCATTTCTATCTGTGGATGGGCTTAGTCTTAGGAGTAAAGAAGACTCAGTTGAAACCTTCACTGTTTAGCTGAGTACTATTGGACAAGTTATTTAATATCCAGAAGCCTCTGCTTCTTCCTCTATTATTATGCTGGTCATACACACAGATGTCAGGTTTTTGACTAGATTAAATGAGGTCCTGTATGCACTTCAACCTGCCAGTACCTTGTCTACTACTGCTTGTTTATCTTCAATGAACCCTGAAGGTATTTCTGGCCAAATAATTTGCAAGACACTCTGTAAAAATCAAGGGGAAGAAAGAGATCCAAGATAATGTTTCTCTCTTCAGAAGCTTATAAAGAATAAAATATTAGATCAACAAGAAGCAAGAGAATAATAGGGAAGACGTCAATATGTAACTGATTACTAAATAAATATTATCAGTAGTAATTATGATAGAAGTTTATAGGGAGTCAAAAACAATTTGTGTCTAGGTGTCAGGGAAATCTCCTGAGTTTGGAGGCTGAATAAGAGCCAGAAGAGCATTGAAGAGGGAAGAGATTTTGTATGATTGAGGAGAGGGGTAGCTCAGGCCCTGAGGTGGGCATAGAAGACTCAGAGACCTACAGTGGAAACTGAGGGAGAGACAGGATTGGTGTCAAGCTCAGAGAGGGTGAAAATTCTGTAACATCCATTGTCTAATGAATGCTCCGCTTCAGCCAACAGCTACTGGACAAGAAATTGGGCCCTGTAGTTGTCAGACATCCTATTTTTCCAGAGAAGATGGACATCTGGATGTCTGTGCTAAATCTCACCATTTTGAAATGTTTGTACAAATTTGAAAAATTTTTTTAAAGTAATATTATGATATCCAAAAAGAAGGCTCAATTCAATGTATAGAACCCCTGCCATTGGAAATGCCAGAGAAGTGAAGGGTAAAAAGACAGTTGCTAGAGTTACCAGAATGCCAGACCACAGAATTTGGACTATATTCTTTCAAAAAATATTGGGCCACAATAAGCAACCCTTCCATGTGTTGTTGTTGTGTTGGGGAGTTCTGATGTGGCGCTGCTTTGTTTACCTGCAAAGGTATGAAAATCACTTTAAATGTTTTTGCTTTAAATGAAAACTTAGTAGCTTCATTTGTAAATGCAAAGCTTTGGATTTGTTGTTGTTAAGTGCCCATAAGTTGGTTTGGACTCATAGCCAGCCTGTATATGGTTTCTGAAGAACGACTGGTGAGTTTGAAGTGCCCACCTTGTGATTCAAATGAACCTTGCCATCCAGTGCTTATCCTACAGCGCCACACCAAGGACTCTGGAGGACTGAGTTAGATAATATCAAAAGGTCCCTTCAGGACCACATAATTCTATGCAGAAAAAAAATAAACAGTTCTTAAGTGGTATATAACAACATCATGACATTTTTCTTAAAATTTGGCAGTTTAAGAGTTTCCAAAAACATCTTCATTCTATTGATTCTTTATCAATGATCCAGCTAAGACCTATTGTTGCTGCTGTTACGTACCTTTGAGTCGGTCGGTTCTAACTCATAGGGACCCTGTATAGGGTTTCCAAGGAGCAGCTGGTGAATTTGAACCTCCAAATTTGGTTCGAACTGACCTTTCAGTCCAGTGCTTTATCCTACAGTGCCACATCAGGACTCCAAGACCTCATTATCACTCCCATTTTACAGAGAAGAAAGCCAAGGCTTAAAGAGGTGACATGACTGTGACCTGATCATGTGTACAGAAATACCAGTGACAGAGCTGGAGTTATAACCTAAGTTGGAAGTCTCTGTTCTACACTCTATACCCGACATATCTCAGGACACTCATGCTTCACTGAAAGAGAGGGCTGAAAGAAAAGCTTCTGGGGAGTGGTCTTTAGTTCCTGGGGAGAATTTTATGTACCTTTGGAAAGATCATTTAATCCTTTTTGGATCAGGGCTGGGGAGTGAGAATGGCACAGAGAAGGTGAGAAAGGGTTGTGTGGAGAGACACGCGTATATCCTTACCTTCTTCAGCAGGCAATCCTCGAAGTTTGCAGAAGTCAGAGATTTCATGGCTTCTCACTCAATTCTGAGTCAAGCAGCAACTTCCTGGTGGGATTCTCAGTGGGAGGAAAACACTGGTGGGCAGTCCGCCCCAGCCTCTGTCTGCAAAGCTTCTCTGGAATCGTGACCATGGACCAGAGACTTGCCTTCTCAACTCTTCATTCAAGTTCTCATTTCCAAACTGTGAGAAGTGGGAATGAATGAAATTGAATCTGAGTCTAACCTAATTTTACCTTTTAGCTCTACTGTCTAGTACTTTGACCTGAGGGCAGTTGTCAAAGTTCTATTTCCCACCCAAACACCTCAAGTTTCATCAAGACAGAAATGTACTCGTTGACTGCTCTCCACCTTTTTCTTCTCATATCCTGATTCGAACTAGATACACCCCTGAGTTCAGTATCTTATATCACCTTGTCCTTATCTTATTGACAGTAAACAACCTGGCCCTCCAAGCCAGAAAATCCCGCAGACTGATTTACTTTCTTTACAATAAACAAATAGGAAACTGTCAAATGATTCGCCTGACACACCTCTTTAGACCTAAAAGCAGGTGACCAGGTTATATCAACCAATCAAGGCACAACAGCGTGTGTGCGTGCACACAGACATAAACACACACACAGGCACCCGCAGTAGAGGTACAACAGGGATTCTTATGCTCACCTGCTGACCTTTAAGCATAATTTCCCTCTTCCCATTTGAAAGCTAGCAGTAAAAATAAAGTCAGTGTAAACAGGTCTCTGGAGCTTTGAGGAAACACCCACGTTTGGTTTTGCCAGCAAAACCCATGTTGGAAAACAGTTCAACCAGTAAATTCCCAGTCTGACGGGCTGCGGCTAGTTTTACAAGGAAAAAAAAAAAAAATCACAATGGCCTAATCTCCCTGAATGTGATAAACATCACAGAGTGTGGTATCAGATGATCTTAAAAAAAAAAAAATTATAAAGCTTCTGTGAGCTCAGCTCACTTCTCAGCAAAGTTCCAGAATCAGATGTCTGTCCAGACAGGACTCCAGCGCTACCTGTGGTGACTCAGCTTTTTATGTACCCAGGATTTGCATATCTTCCTGGACTCTCCCCCGGCTGGCTGCTCTCTGCTCCACCCACCACATTAGTGCCAGTATTGAATCCAGCTTCTCCAGATACACTATACATCTCCATCATCAAGATAAATATTATGTTGCTATAACCTCTCTACTGGCCCTCTGTGTAATCCTAAATCTCCTTTGTACACCAAATGCTCCAGAATATTTCAGAATCTTACTCCCTTTGCTTCTCTTACCAGTGTTCTGCCAATCCAAAATAATCAGCTTCTCATAGATGGAACAAGAGTGTCTCCCTCTGAACTCCACACCATTCTATATTCTCTCTTCACCTCATTTCCAGCTTCCCTAAAGTCCTTCTGTTTTTCCATGAGCTCCTGGTTTTGGTTTTACCTCTGCTTTCACTGTAATCATTAACTCCAGAATCCTTTTCCTTTGGTGAGCCCATTTCTGGAACGTTCTAAAGTTACTCCAGACACCTGCTATCAAATATGCAAACTTACATACATTTTTGGCTGCTCTGTTTGATTACTCCTATCCTATAACTGACCCAAATGTGATAAATGGAACTCTCATTTCCATGCACTAGGGATGCTTGCCAGAATGGCAATAGGGACATTATACAAGCACAATCCAATTCCTGACTCCGAGATATAGAATGGTTCCTTATGGGAAAACGTTCTGAAAAAGAGGGCAGTCCTACAGCCTCTGAGACAGCTTCCCTTGAGAGATTGACAAAGACCAATTGTCTTTGTAGATACAGATCCCTGACTCTTTGACTCTTAAGTAAGCAACAATTTATTGAGCAACAGTGAGCCTAAGGCACTATGCTAAACTGCTGAAGGGGATTCAAAGTTAGCTCAGATTCCCTTCTTCCTTAGGAAAGAAATATCCTGCTATCTTTTGATTCATACCAAGTATAAATATGAAAAAATGAACCAGTTTGGCTCAACTTCTGTTGTGAGGATGAAGTTATTTTCAAAAGAAGGAATTCAAAATTGTAAGCTAAGGATATATAAGGTTTGTTGTTGTTGTTTTTGGGGGGTTTTTTGGCGCGGACGGAAAGTCAATCTTCACCCACAGGTGTTACTGATTTACGTATCAAAAACCCAAACCCACTGGTTTTGAATGGATTCTGACTCATGGTAGCCCAATCATGTATCCAAGGCTGTAAATCTTTAGAGAAGTTAACTGTCACTACTTATTTGTGTGAAGAGGCTGGTGGGTTCAAACCCCTGACCTTTTGTTTAGCAGTTTAGTACTTTAACCACTGTGCCATCAGAACTTCTACTGATTCATTTCATACTGAGAATTTCATCCTAAGAAGAAGAAAGGTTAGCTTGATCCAATCCATCTTAAATATGTAAATATGTTAAAGTTCACCAGGTTTACAAACGCTCACTGATTCTTTAAAAGCTTTCCTTCTATCCTGGTTGATGCAATTCTGGTGACTCAGAGGACAAGCCAGAGATTGTGAACAACCTGTATCTTGCCTACTCTGTATCTCCTGCATAGCCCCAACACGTATGGGTCAGAACCAACTCGCTGGCACGTAACAACTACAACAACATATATATATATATATGTATATATACCTACATATATGAGGGCACATCAAAAAGTTTGTGAACAAATAGAACTGAAAGATAATGGAATTCTCCCATGATTTTTTTTTAACTTTTTATTGTGCATTGCATGAAGGTTTACAGAGGAGATCACCAGCTTTACATTCAACAGATTATATACTCTCTTTCATCTTAATGATTACATTCCCCTCCCTGCAACAACAGTTATCCTGCTTTCACGGCCTTGTATATTGTCTGCCCTATCACCTGAACTAACATGTGTCTACCCTCTAGCCTCTAGCTAGTAAATTACTCTCAGGCCTCTCCCACCCCCACCACCCCCACCCAACACACACACACACTGGTAACCATTAAGAGAATGTTTCTTTTAGTAAGAAAACTGTTTTTAATTTTTTTAGAATAATAGTTTCATACACATTTGTCCTTTGACAACTGTGGCTATGTAGGTAATTTTGAGACCAGGAAGTAAGAAGCTTCCAACTCTGTCTTCTTTTTAAGCAGTGTTTTGCTTATCCAAGGTCTCTTTCCATATAAAATTTGTGATTTTTCCCATCTTTTTAAAGAATGATGTTGGAATCTGGACTGAGATTGTGGTGTATTTCTTTGGACAGTATTGACATTTTCCTAAGGTTAACTCTTCCTATCCACAAGCCTGGTATATTCTTCCGTATTTGTAAATCTCTTTTTGTCTCTTGTAGTAGTGTCTTGTAGTTTTCTCTGTATAGGTATTTTGTTTCTCTTGTTAGATTTATTTCTAAGTATTTCATCTTTTGGGTGCTATTGTAAATGGTATTGTTTTCCTAATTTCCTTCTCAGAGCTGCCTTCATTAGCAATAACGGAATCCAACTGATTTTTGTATATTGATCTTGTACCTTGCCACTTTGGGATTTTCTATGCATAGGATCATCTCATCTGCAAATTGAAAGAGTTTTACTTCCTGTTTGCCAGTTTGGATGCCTTTAATTTCCCTTTCTTGCCTTATGGCTCTGGCTAAGATTTCCAATACAATACTGAATAGGAGTAGTGATAAATGGCAGCTTTGTCTGGTTCCTGCTTGCAAAGGGGAAGGCATTCCTTTTATCTCCATTCAGAGCAATGTTGGCTATTTGTATATATGCTCTTAATTATATTAAGGAATTTCCCTTCAATTCTTACTTTGTTGAGTGTTTTGTTGTTGTTTTTTAAATCAAGAATGGGTGTTGGATTTTGTCAAATGCCTTTCCTAAATGAATCAACATGACCATGTGGTTCTTTTCCCTTTTTTAAGGAATTTTTATTTTTGTTGTTGGGAGTTTTTTTAATGACCTGATCAATTTAATCATTGAATATGGTGGATTATTACATTGATTGTTTTTCTAATATTGAACCATCCTTATATCCTTGGTATGAATCCCAGTTGGTCATGAGATACTATTTTTTTGATATGTTGTTGATGTCTATTGGCTAGCATTTTATTGAGAATTTTGGAGGATATTGGTTGATAATGTTTTTTTCTGGTGATGTCCTTGTTGGTTTTTATATGAGACTTATACTTGCTTCATAAAATGTATTTGGGAGTTTTCCATCCTTTTCTAAGTTTCTGAGTTCTATAGTTTGAGTAATATTGGTGTCAGCTTTTCTGAGTGTTTGGTAAAATTCACCAGGAAAGCCATCTTGGCCTGGACTTTTTTTTGTTGGGAATTTTTTAATGACCTGATCAATTTCATCTTTTATTACAGGTCTGTTCAAGTTTTCTATTTCACTGTGTTAGTTTAGGTGGGTCATGTTTTTCTAAAAATTTATCCATTCCTTCTAGATTTTCAGATTTATTGGAGTACAACTCTTCATAGTATTCTGTTATTTTCCTTTTTATTTCCATGGGTTCTGTTGTGATATCACCTATATCATTTTTTATGCATGCTATTTGAAACTTCTTCGTTTCTTAGATTTGTCGATGGTTTATCAATGAATCCTTTCAGAGAATCAACTTCTTGTCTTGTTAATTTGTTCTATTGTTTTTCTGTTTCCTAATTCATTTCTTTCTGCTCTAGTTTTTATCTTTCTTTTGGTGACTGTAGGCTTACTTTGCTGATCTTTCTAATTGTTGGAGCTGCTGTGTTAATGTGTTGGTTTGGGTTCTATTTTTTGGGGGGATGTGTGTGTTTCTTTCTATAAATTTCCCACTAAACACTGCTTTTTTCTGTGTCCCAAAGGTTTTCATATGTTATATTTTCGTTCTCATTTGCTTTAAGGAATTTGTTTTGTTTTGTTTTATACCAAGTAGCTTTTAAGCAGGGTGTTTATTCAGTTTCCATGTTTTTGTTTTGTTTGTTTTTTTCCTTCTATCAACTTTTTGAAACCCCCTTGAAGTCTTCTGGCATATACAATTGACATTTCAATA